TTGACCAACTGGACGATTAAACATGTCCAATCATTAATTTAAATGGCTCAAGGTAGGATGGATAGTCATATTTTCAGGCTTGTGGAGGAGGCAGATGTTCAATATTTTTGCTAGAATTCTATAAGGTCTATGGTCTACCTCAGAATATGGGTGCATTCCAAATGTATAACAACACCTTCATTGCATCGGGAATAACTTGTCTCTGGGTTACCCAGTTAATGTAGCTTAAGTATCTCATACCAAGGATAAGATGGAAATGGCAGTCCTTGAACCTGAGAAATCCAAAAAGGACAGGAGAGCATCTTAAACAATGACTATGCTGTAGACATTATGGCAATGAGCCCCAGCAGGCGCACATGTTTAAAAACACTGGGAGAGGAAATAAAGACACAAGAAACTCAGAGAAGACATCATCATTCTGCAGATGTTGAAATTTTGCTTATATAATTCATTCTGCAGCTTACTGCCTCTTTTTTTTTAAGTAAAATGGGTCATAATTAGAATAAAGCAGTGTGTGTAACACAAAGGTCATGCTCATACATACTGCCTTTTTCACCAGCATTTCAATTTTATTAAAAATATGAAAACCTGCCTGCACCATTGAATTTAAAATATTAACAGAAGGCTGGAGTAGTTCTGTTACTTCCTACCAGTAACTGGGTTCTTCCCAGGTATGCAGATCTAAGATGGACTTGGGGCTTTTTTCCACACCGTACTCAGATGTCAGTTCAAACAATGGCTTCCACACTATTCCTCCTGAGTCTATGCCTCACCCCTCCCCAGCTCCAAGAGCTCACAGCACCCTCGGCTCTCCTTCCATGACACCTGACATCATAATTAAGCGGCTGATTGCCGAAACACATAATTAGCAGCTTGTATCAGTCTTCCCCTACCAATAAGAACACCTGAAGAGGAATGTTCCTTTGCTCCATTGCTTGGATAGACTAAATGCTGAAGAAGTAAATGTGTCGTGGCTAAATTAAAGTGACTGTTTCTCCCACTTTAATCAAGAGCTATCACTGAGTAAGCCTTGGAGAATCATTTTCTAATAAAAGTCTGCAAACAATTCAAGCTTCCCTCCGGTGACACTAGATCCTATGTCTTGCTCTTAAGGTGGCCCCAGCCATTCCACTCTTCTTTGCCAAAATTTAGAAATCTATGGGAACATTCTCTAACCCCCTAAACTCCTACCTACTAATAGAAGTTAAATTCATTTTGGTATTCATTATTGCTACCATTCATAAGGCTAGAAAAGCCCATGTTAACTACTACTAAAGTGATTTCACTAAGACATATAAAACTTAAGGCAACCAAAACCAAAAACCTAAAGATCAATCCGTGTGACATTTCAATTGTGATATGATGCTGCAATTGGTCTTCCCCTCCCATTTGCTATCTCTCTGTGTTGCCCTGGGAAGCACATTATACAATGTTTCCATCATCCATGTATATTGCTCCTTGTCCAGATGAGTTACCCAGTTATTGTACCTGTAGGTATGACAATATGAACCATGTAGTCCGTGATGATGGATGTGTTTGGGTGCTGTGATCAAACTCATGTGTTAACAAGGCCCACAGTCACTCAAACACATCTAAAGAAATGGAAGGTTGGCATGTAATGGTAGAAAGAAAGATAGGGCTTGCTTCACCAAAAGGCCCTGTTGGCACTCAAGAACAGGTTACCAGCCTTCTAGAACAGGTAAACTCACACAGGTGGGCCCATCCCTTCCATACTTGGGATGGGGTAGGGACACTCCCTTGGCAGCAAAAGTGGGTGTCTCTGAAAAGGAGCCACCATTTACAATATAATATAATCACTCTAGATTCAGCCTCTTTCTATATTCCTCTTCACACCGCTGCCTCAAAGCCTCTTCCCTGTCCCAGGGCTTTGTTCTTCGGCATCCTTTCTGCTCTCTCATACCTTATGCTTCCTGTAGACTTCTTTCTCAAGGTCTCACAGTTCCTAATCATATCACCAGTTTGCCAGCTCACTCTATCTACTGAGCACAGAGGAGATTTAGTCATTTTCCTCCCTAACAGGCAAAGTGCTTGTGACGCAAGAGGCTGGGTCACCCTGAGGATCTAGACAGCTGTACAGAATAAGTGATAACATGGTTATCCACTTAGAACAAACATTGATTGGGGCCACATGGCCTTGGACAGAAACCCCTGGGAAAATAAGTGTGGCTAACCAAGGTCAAGAACAGGAAACTAGTTCATGGAAAGAACAAACAGGTAAACCAAGGCTGGAGTAGGGGAAAGTTCTGTTTTCTCAAGTAGAGTAACAGGAGTTCACATTTGCTCATTTCTCTAGTTTGGTCTCTTATTCTCTTTCATTTTGGTACTGAAAAATTAAATTGAAATAACATGAAAGCAACAAAGTTTTTTTTAATGCTGTGGCATAAGTACAAGATCAGCAACTGGACCCTTGTTTCTCAGTTTGACTTTTCACCTTTTAAACCCATTTCTCATTCTTCATTTTCATGTAAGCCTTACTGCGCTCAAACACATAATAGACAAAGGCATGAGAATTTTGCTTGGTACTACAGAAAAAAACAAGTAGCAGTTCACCCTTGGACCCTACCCAACTTTTCTGCTATCACAAAACTCTTTTTCAATCACTCTATGTCAAAGAAGCAGATTATACTAAGAAAGGAACAAAACTTCCTTTTTATCTAATCTTCTTGGGTTTTTTTAAAAATGTCTGAGTATTTCTTTTACAATGCTCTAGTTATCTAAAAAACTAATTCCACAAATTTGAAAATTAAGATAATAAAATTACCAGCATAGTGTATTTAATGTCTAAATTATTTAAAGTCAGAAAAAAAGTATCAATGTCTTTTGTAGCCCAGTTTCTAAAAGTAAATTTATAAGTATGAATGTAAAACAAAGTTTTGAAGGAAGAGAAGAATAGTGAATTCTTTTTTTTTTTTTTTGGGTCCGGTCGTGGGGCCCGAACTCTGGGCCTGGGCACTGTCCCTCAGCTCTTCAGCTCAAGGCTAGCGCTCTACCACTTGGGCCACAGCGCCACTTCCGGCTTTTTTCTTTTTGCTTATGTGGTGCTGAGGAATCGAACTCAGGGCTTCAGGCATGCAAGGCAAGCGCTCTACCACTGAGCCACCTTCCCAGCCCAAGAATAGTGAATTCTTAAGTTCACAAGCAACTCTTGTTATTTTGTCTTTTCAAATATTATGAGTATGTTCATTGATACCATAAAATATCAAATTCATACTTCTAGAATTTAAAATAGTAACCCAGAAAATTCAAATGGGGTAGAATTTAGTGTTTATTCTATGAGGTTTTTGTCTGCGATGTTTAGCATTGTACAGTTGTGCACCAAAGAGGGATTTTTACAAAATAATACAATAAAGGTCAGATCCAACCTAGTGAAGCATATATGAGACCCAAACTAGGAACTAGTTCACATTCCCAATAATGGGAAAATCAAGGGGAAAAGCAATTATGCTTTAAGATAAATGAGCCATTCTTAGCTGAAAAATCTGAGTACCCTCCCATTTCATGTACTCAAATTGTGCATTTCTGTTTTGTGCTCCAAGCTGTTTCTTTCATCTTATAAATGTACAAAAATTAGAATTGTAGCACTGAGGGCATGTGAAGAATTTAATCTTGAAAGAAGTGAACTACAATGATGCTTTATTGAAGCACTTTGATATAAAATCAGAAAGACACCAAGCTTGAAAAGGCATCATAGTGTTAGCCGTTCATACACAATTAATTCAGGAGAAAGGAGAAGACATTGTGAATGAATCCCCAATATAAATGCGCTGGAACCCGGGCATATCTTTGATAAATCTAGTATTCGGGGTATTAGGAGTGTATGTTACCTGTGGGTAATGACCTATCCTCTAAGAAACCACATTGAGAGCCAAGAAATAGAATCATTCTGTTAAATCCTGCATTTATTTAACAAACCAAATGTATAGAGATAGGGAGTGAATGTGTTATAATGGAAAGAAGACACACAATGTGAAGTCCCTGAAGAGAGTCTCTGGGGGAGCTCAGATCTCTCATGGTGAATCCTTGCACAGACCATAGGAAAGCCACCACTGACACTCCCATTTAAGTCATTTTTAGGTAGATAAATCAGTGATTTGCTTCTACTTCAGTACAAACAGTAATGACAATGGTAGCCTTGAAGAGTTTGTTAGTGAGTACAGGGAATACGTGAGGTGTTAGGCTTCCTGTGTTATTTTAGTGCCCAACCACTGTATTTTATATGAGGATAATGTATTATCTGACACTTACTGTGACATCTACTAACACGTAAACTCATTTGCATAGGTTAGTACTTTGTGTGGTACAATGTTCATTCCTCTTATCTACCAAGGCTTAAAGATTCACAGTGTAGAGGGGAAAAAATGAATTAAAGCATTTCTACTAAAATATATTTTAATAGCTGGTGTTAACAATTTGCATAACAAAAGCCACATTATATTCATCACATCGTATCATTCTGTAAGCCCCATTCCTTTGAAAAACATTAAGTGTTCCCTTCAAAACTGGTAAGCTCTCCAAGCTCATACGGTTTTAGAAATTAATCATCAAGCACAGTTCTACATATTTAGAAGTAAACAGAGTCAGACTTTACAATGATTCAAATTTGCAGTTTTATCATTGGCCAAATACCAACAGTTCTATGCACATCATGCCTGCTACACACTGGGTGCTGCTTCCAAAATGTTCAGCAGTTCATTGTATGAACACAAAAGAATGGGACTGCAATGCAGATGTCCCTTTCTCCTCGAAAGCAAATCATTCTTAACAGCAACTAGATTACAGTAATGTATACACTATGCAAACTGGATACTATATAGCAAACACAAAAAAGCAGATAAAGTTTCCATGAATATACTGAAGTCAGAGAGACAACTGGGGAGGAAATCTGCCCATGGATCCATCCAGACCTGTGGGATCTAATAGTGTAAGCATCTTGAGATGACATTCACACTGCCTCATATAATGCCTTGGCTTTTTTTTAAAATTTCTAATAGTTGACAGTTAGATGCTTAAAAACAGTCCTAATGGGCATGAACACTTCAGAAAAACACTTCCATTTTAGCACCCTTAAGTTTGTTTACATAGCTTCCTATTTAACTAAAGATATATTGTCATTGGCCATGTGACCCAACACAATCACTATCTAGCCACATCTCAGATTATAAGAAGCAAAAGCTAACGTATAATTAACATAAAGTAAAGCTCATTTATGTAGGTGAATTCAGCCTCATTAACACAATAATTCTATCTTAGAATAGGTACTTTAAATTCCATTCCTAAAGTTACTATTTATACATATCAACTATATATAAATCCCCAAAGAACTTTCCAGAAATAGATGGAAGAAGTCCACATTTTCTAAAGCCTTAAATCTTTAAGAGGGAAAATACAATCAGTTATCACCTATAATACCTGTTAAGGGAATCTCACCTTCCCACCACAAAAATACCAATTATGTATAATAAAATATCACTCTAGGATAGGCAGAAGCTTGCTTGCTTGGTTTTCTTTCCAAGACCATAATGATAAAAAGGTTAATTAAAAAGGCACCTGCTTTTATATCTACCTATATCATAAGTTTGGTATAAACTCTATCCAGTTTAATAGGGGTATGCTATTTAAGATCACAGCCATTGTCTTTCTCTTTTCACTGAATACATTCCATTGCAGATAGAAGAAACTAAAAAAAAGGAAGGGCACCTCTTCACTTTCTGTTTTGAAAAAAATCTTCCTAATTCTTAGAGCATTCTAAACTTTAGTACAGAGAAGGTGAGGGAAAGGAAGACTGTACTGAAACTGGCAAAAGTGCATCCTCGTCATCTTCAAGCAATGTACCAAGTAGCAAGAAAGGGGCTGCCTCACTTCATCAGCATTCATGCAAGATGCTTATGGAAATTGTGCTTCAGATTCTTGTATGGTCTATGAAGGATGGAAGGCATGGCAAGATCTAGGGGTTTCATGGAGAGCCCACACCAGATAAAGACTTCAAACTGGGCTACATTGCAGATGTGCAAACTGTAACAGGACACAAAGAATTCATTTTGCCATAAATTAGAAATAGAAAGCTTTCTAGAGAACAAGAATTAGTTTTTAAAAAAAACTTCTACTACAAAAGCTTACAAGAAAAGCAACATATTCTGTTGCTATGCTTGCTTTAACAGTAATATGATCCACGCACAGTTTTGTATTCAGAACCTTTTAAAAGTGTGCCAAACTCCTTTTTTGTGCTTTGGTCAGAGAGGAGAACGCACTGAATTTCAGAAGCAGGTGCGTGACCTCTGCTTGGCATTTACATAGTCTTCTTTACCTTCATTCAATTTCTAAAAGGCTTGTTTTCAAATTCTTCCTTAGCTGTCAGTGTTATGTATGCTTTATCTGTTACGTATGTAATAGCCAAAGTGAAGTTGGACAGGAGGTATTTGGAAAGTGAAAAGGTGTTCAAGAATATATTTTTTTGTTAAGTGATGCTGACTTTGGTATGACGCATCTCTGTTTCCTTTATTTTGCTGAGCTGTTTAATGTCCTGACAAGTATTAGAAACAACACCAACACTATCAAACTTACAGCCTCCAGAACATGCAATGTCCTGTTCAGCCTGTCTTTATTTAAAAATAAGTGCCTCCTAGTTGAATTCTGGTCTGCTATTAATTCCACAAGTCATGAAGCAGAAACATCTTGCTTTGCATTTATATGAAGCTTACTTAACGTTTTAGGATACTTATTTCCTAAATGTGTGGCGACTCTGATATCCAGTGAATGTGATCTTGAAATCAGCTAATGAGAAAAAGCATGAAATATCAACTGCTACTTTGTTACTTTCCTAATTACAGGTCGGCTTCTTTTGAGCTTCCTATACATGTTCTATTTGTCAAAAATTGTACCTGTCCTATAATTAGTCCAAATTTTAATCAACAACTACTCTTTTTATAAAGAATCACACACACACACACACACACACAAAAGAAAATAGTCTGGGGAAACAAAGACATACTTAACCAAAAGTGAGCAGACTTACTGTCCTTGTTTAGGATGCACAGATTTTTGCAAACTTATTACAAGTTCAATTTGTAAGTCTGTGTGCAAGCATTAAATACGGAGTCAATCGATTCAGTCACCACTAGTCTTTTAAATGATGGAAATGGGTTAGGCTTAGTATGCTGTAGTTTGTTAAACCCTTTCCAAAAATACTAGTTATTCCCCTAAATTTTTGTCCTTTCAATTTCATATAGCCACAGCTAAGTGGCTTCTTTTGCTGTGTTAACCTATTATCTGAAACTAAGATATTCAACAGTATGTACTGACTGTTCAAAAATGTGAATGGCTTTTGGATTAGTTACCTTTCAACACGAAGTGTTGTACAGGATGTTTTATGAATATATCATAAACATATATCATGTTTTCTTGAATATATCATAAGCAGTAGATATCTCCAAGATCCCTATGTCTTAGTGCATTTTTGTAACTGCTTTTCTCAGTGCATTGCTATAATCACATCCTTCATGAATGCTACCCTGCTGTAAGTCATGATACAGGGCACAATCAGAATGACAGAAGAGTTGCCATGGGATATCAGGAAAAAAATGGGGGTGATATTTCATAAGCAAGGGCTGTATGTGTATACATGTGGCTGGAAATCCATCAAATGATTGCAAAGACACTCAAAACACAACAACCATTTCTGTGTGTGTGTGTGTGTGTGTGTGTGTGTGTGTGTGTGAACGGCCTTTGAGTCTAAACTGAGCAATCTCTGCTGATATTCCTATCTCATCCCCTAAAGATGCTTTAGAAACAAAAACCAGAAAATGGAAAGGAAGTTTCTTCATTCACTAGTCTTTAGTGGCTAGATTTCTCTTCCAGAGTCCCAGTACTGTTTTCCAAAAGAAAACAGTGGTGCCAACTTCCTGTGGACTCAACTTGTGTTTACCCAAGTTGTAACCAGTATGTTCTGTATCTCATTTATCACTGGGTTTTATGATCTTTCCTTCACTTTTAAATCAACTGCGGCAATAAAGTCAACAAAAGCTCTTCAGTAAATACCTAAATCACTTATTTACTAGAGTATATGTGTATTTCTTCTAAAGTGTTAGTCCTTCAAAACTAGAGTGTAATACAGCAGGAAAATCTCAAGCAACTTTTCAAAATAGGTTTTCCAGATGAGCTGGCAACTAGAGGAAAGGGCTTGGAGATAGGAGCCACACTGCTGGCATTAATAACAGCAACAGGCAAGGAAACTGCCTATGTTACAGAAGCTTGAACCCACGTGACATGCAACAGGGCAAAGGCTACTAGGGAAATAATACAGATGACATCAATTTTTGCCCTTTGCAAGAATAGCTGTGAAGTTATTTGGTCTTAACATTCTGTGGAACCAAGCATGTGTTTCGATCCACAGAATGTAAATGGAGAATAGGATACACTGTGGTACAGATGAGAAATAAATAGACCCAGTTGGCCTAGGGAACAAGGATATTTCCTGTTTGGTCCCCTAAGGCCATCAGTCAATATAATTTTACCCAGACTCATTCTGCCATTGCTTATATTTATTAGATTAGGCAATTTTTACCAGTGTTAGAAATTGCCTAATGAACCAAAAGCTCAACAGTTTTTGTTTGTTTGTTTGTTTTTTAGTTATCAGCTGTATTACTGAGTTAAGAGTTTTGGATTTCAGTGACTTGTAGTGACAGCTATGAAGATTCATACACGTGTTACACTGAGGGGACAGTCAACATCTCTATTAAAGTCTACAAAAATACATTTCCCAGAAGGGTTCAATAGCCAATCAAAGGAAACCACAAACACAATTAGCAGCACCAGGTCTCCAGACCTAATGATTCTGTTTACAGGAATTACTGAAAATGCTGCTGTTTTTCAGTCCAGAAGTCATCCCTTCTTCCTGGTACCTGCATGTCTAGTTGTCAAAGGAAGGGTGTATGTTATTGTAAAATAATCGCCAAGTTGTCTTAAAAGTATTTTCTATCTTTTAAAAAGATTAAGTGTAGAATACATTAGAATAAAGCTCAAAGGGCAAGAAGAAAGAATTAATTCACAAACTCGATGTAATTCGCCGGGAGCATGCCCGTCCTCCCCGTCCTCTGTACGGTGCCGTACATCCAGCCGTCATCAATGGGCTGCACATTGACGATGTAGTCACCATCCCGGAAGGAGACCTCATCTTCATCCTGGGCACTGTAGTCGTACATGGCTCGGTAGGTCCTCTGAGAAAAGAAAGAAAGGCTTGGGTCGTTGACTATCAACATCGTCACCGCGACCAGTTCCAGTTCCGGTAAATCAACACAGGATCAAACATCTGGAAGGTTTTTAAAGCAGGTCTATTTTTGGAAATCTGTTCAACCAGAGCCTCGCATCTCACTGTCCTGATCTCAAGTTTCATTTTAGTCAAGAAAAGAGATAGTATTGGAGTGTTAGCGTAGAAACAAGGACATACTTTAGAATTAGTAGGAAAGAGAATGATGAAAAGAATACATACAATGGCTCATCTGACAACGACTCCACTTTAAAATAGCAAAGTCAACCTTTCTCACACCCCCACTGAGGCGTCAGATTCACTCAAGCAAACTTAGATTAGTCGATTCTCCCCTGTCTCATATCCTTCAGAGAATAAGACCTGCCATACTGACAGACAGGTCCCAATCCCATTGGCTCTTAGTCCCTGGTCCTCCAAGCAGAGAAAAATGACTGTTTCCTAAACAGATATTCATAATCCTTGTTTCCTCTTAAAATATGCAAGACAGAATTAAAAATCATAATATGCTTGATAGTTTCACCTATCATAGTGACCTTAAAAAAGGCAATATATAAACATTCTGAATGTTGAAGTGCTTATTTTTAAAAATCTTGTAATAAGAAAATTTTAATTGAATTTTCCTACACTGGTTATTATGAAGGCTAAGAATTTAGCTAATATTAACCATCAGTGAGTCTCAGAGGCAAGAGTATTTGTTGACTGAGGAAAGTGGCTTTCTAGCCTTGGAGTCATTGAAGATACTTTACAGTTGTGAAGAGTCATTTATATCTAAGTGTTCAATAAATAATAAGGGCCAGCACAAAGCCAGGAGAAGCAAAACATAATGAGACTAGATGTTCCCACGCGTTGCTTTCAAATATGACACTGAAGGAATAAATCAGTATTTCAAGATTTCCTATGAAGGGGATTTGATATTTTAAAATGGATAGTTTATTAATATTTTAATAGGCACACAGTAATTGCACAAATTTATGGGGTATAATGTAGCACCTCAATACATGTATGCAATGGATAATGATCAGTCAGGTAATGAGCAGATCTACCACCTCAGAAATCCATCATACTTTTGTGTTGAGAACATTTAGACTTCTGTAGACCATATGACTAGCATCCATCAAATATCTGAAGCTTTGTAGAGCAAAATTAAAATCATAGTTGGCTAACACCGATCATAAAAAATGTACTAGAATATGTCTTATACTTCTTATTGTTTGGTTTAATTCTTATTAATATTTTCTTTTCTCAACTCTTCACCCCTGTAAGGTTTTTACTTCTTCTGAAGAGGCTATATAAATAGCATCAGGCAATCACTTATCCCTAGACAACACAGTCAATGGCAATTCAGCAGTATGCTACATTTACTTACATTCTTGTGGCAAAATGGGAAGATGAGACAAGAAAGGACACTTTTTTCCCCCGTGCTGGAGATTGAACTCAGAGCTCTAAGCAAGTGCTCTACCACTGAGCTATACTTCTGGCCTAAAGGAACATTTCAAACCCATACTTACTAGATTTGGTGAGTGCTGCATTGACCTCATGGATGACATACTGGTCTGATGCATGTACCCATAGCCTTGGGAATGGCTCTGCTGATAAGCTCCAGGAAGGACAGGTGCTGCATACAGAACATACACACATAGAGTCCTTAAAATTGCCTCCTAGTAATCCTTCCCATCCCTTCACCATGAAGCCATGCTGACAGGCTTCTACCTTTTCAGCAGCAGTTGGAATGTGAGGAACTCTACTGCAAACAAGCACTATATTAGTCCAAATCACAGTAATTAAAGACATAATAGAAAATCCATTTATCATGCAGTTCTATTTTTACAAATAATTTTATTGCTCTATTATAGATGTTATATAAAAACAACACAACCAAACAATGCAACAAAATAAAAAAAAATCCCAGTCATGGGTTGTTTTATCCACATCGTGCTTTTAAGACATTTGCTAAAGTATAAACCGGACTTGAAAGAGATTTAATTGGATTTCCCAACCAGTGAGAAAATATCACTGTTTACACAGAGTGCTTATCATTACATAATGGGTATTTAGTGGCAGTTAACTGAGTGTTAACAAAGATGGTAAACAGAGCCTTCGTTTAGAAATATATTTTGTTCAACTGTCAATGAAAAGTCTGTACCTGTTGAAGAAAACTTGATTGGAACATAAGAATTCTACTTTTCATTTTGATTATAATGAAGACTAAGTAAATGAGTTCCGGGTATTTTTTTCATTAACATCTAACAAAATAGACCACTCAAAGAATTTCATAACCAGCTTTCCATGTTAACAATAAAAAAATGGTGTTCATTCAGCTGTGACATCCTTACTTCTAATTAAGACATTCAAAAGACATAATTTCTGTTATAATAAACTCTGATTTCCTCAGAAACCAACAAGAAAGCTAGATTAAGCACACACACACAATCAAAAATCATGTATACTTGGATGTTTGTTTCTATGTTTTAGCATTCATAACCAGAAACATGAGCTATAAGCAAAAGGTAATTTAGTAATATACCCTTTATTACATTTTGAATAATTATATAATTCATTAAAGCTGTATAATTCATGTACTATTAAGTCCATAATAGTCTGACAATTTGTTTACTTATAACTGATTGATTTATTCAGGACAGTTTTATGATGAAAGAAGCAGATTAAATTCTTGAGTGTTATAAACAGTTAATATTTAGTAAATGGCAACTTTGCTCTAATGATACATAAGATTATCAATATTTTAAAATAGTTTAATAATCAGAAAGTTACAATACATTACTGTGTTGTCCTGATTAATAATGACATTAGATTGAATGGGACCTTCATCTAGTAGTTCTTGAGTACATTTATATTACAATGTTGTTACAAATTTTATTTTCTGTTTTTATATGGCATTAAAGAGATTTTCCCAATACCTTTACTGGGTTGGAGTGTATTTTCATTATTAAACCATGATTAAACATCAAACGCTTCTGAAAATTACCAACTCAACTAAATATTTAATGTCAAGAGATGCCAAGGATATTTTTGAAAGCCACTCATGAAGGAAAAAATAATGAAATTTTCATAAATATCTACGTTGTTCCAGCTGAGTGGAAGGGGCTTTTCTGTATGAGATGCTAGCAGTGCTGATCTTTCTCTTATTCTCTCCTTCAACTCAAAACAAACACTCATCCGCTCATATGAAGCTGAGTACATTGCAGTCACAGAGTAAGTCTCCCTGACCTCTATGAGAAGTCATGGCTGTCCACCAAGGCATACCAGCACGACAGGAATGACAGCATGATTGCTCTCCCAGAGTCACAATGGGCTTCAGCCACTGGCCCTTTCCCCAATTAAACAAAAATGACCGGATGTGCAGGGCTTTTCCAATTAAATGCCTAGATCAATGCTTTGGGCTAATACCCTACATTGCTAGTCCTAAACTTGTTTCTAACCATTGAAACTAGTCATTTCTCCATTAATTAATTTGAGTCTACTTAAAAATTTCAAAGAACAAATACAAATGCCTCTATTCATTTGTTTAAAGGAAAATAAACAAATTCTAGCCAATACTATGAATCTTACATTTTTATGTATTAAGTACAATGGGCTTAAAATACATTGGGGGGAAAATCTTTCAGAAAAGGACAATGAAAATTATGCAGTCCCAGAGTCTGTGATATCTTTATGCTTTCATTTGTACAGCACTACCCCAATTTTGTGCCCATAAGTATTGATAACTGAAGAATGTTACTTATCATTCTTCTCTCTTGGGCCTTTGGAATCTGTTTTTGTTTCTTGGGTTTTATTTTTTTGTCAGTCATGGAGCTTGAACTCAGGTCTTAGGCGCTGCTCCTGAGCTCTTTCACTCAAGGCTAGCAGCCTACCACTTTGAGCCACAGGTCCACTTCTGGTTTTCTGGTGATTAATTGGAGATAAGAGTCTCATGAATTTTCCTTCCCAGGCTGGCTTTGAACCGTGATCCTCAGACCTCAGCCTCCTGAGTAACTAGGTTTACAGGCATGAGCCACCAGCACCCGGCAAAAGTTGGGTATTTTTTAATGTGTTCAAGTGCTCACAAATCCACCCTTCAGAGAGATCCAGTAGCTACTGCCAATTGAGTAAGAAAAGGTAAGAAGATGTCCAAAGCAGGTGTGCAGTGGAAATCAGGGTAGGGAGTTGAGAAGCGACCACTGCACAATAAGTACAGTCCATTCAGTACCCATGGTCTCTCATCACGTTTCACCATCTCATTTCCCTGAATTACTTAACCAAAGTTCCACCGGGGCTAGACAACCTTGCTATCTACTTTATACCTGGTGCAATACAAGAATTTTTAGGAGGTTCCTATTAGGGATATGAAAACCATAACTAAGAGCCCAGAGGAAACAATTCAGTAAAAGTGAACACCAATTTTAAAAGAGACATGAATGTTAATAATGAAGAATGATGATTAAGAAGCATAATTTTTTGAAACTTGGAAAAAACAAACAAAAGGAAATTTACAGTGATAGCTTTGAAAAATCCAGGTTCTGATAAACTCAATTGAAAGCTAACTTTTCTTCTATGAGATTTCTTCCATGAAATTTAGACTTCAAACTGTTCTTGCAAAAGCAAGATGTTAGGCTAACTTTGCAACAATTGAGGACATCTTATAGAGAAAAGGACACAGTGCCCTTTTATTAAATCAGTAGTCAGACTTCATCAGTGTAAGTTCCGATGGATGATGATAAAAGTTCAGTAGTTTTTTCTAACCACCGAGTGTGAGGGTTTGTTTTATTTCCATAACATTAAATTTTTTCAAAAGGTTTTGTTATCCTAAGGCAATAACAAAACACAGAAGTGGAATACAACTTTCATTTCACATTGCTGAGACTTATTGATCCAAGGTCCAGAAGTGGACCAAAGTAACACACATTTCAAGCTCTATTTGGAATGACCTATGATGCTTATAATACCAACATGTCTACAGGATAGAATATGAGAAACCCTATGTCTCCTTGGCACAGGCCTAAATTTTCTAAATAGAGACCCAAAAACACAACAAATCAAAGAAAGGTTGGGCAAATGGGATTGCATGAAATTGCAGAGCTTCTGCATGGCAAAGGACATAGCTAGCAAGATCAATAGAAAGCCCACAGATTGGGAGAAGATCTCCACTAGCCATATAATCGACAAGGGTCTCATATCTAAAATATACCTGGAACTCAAAAAAATAAATCCCCCAACAACAAATCCTCAAAGAAACAACTGCCCAATAAATAAGTGGGCTAGAGACTTAAAGAGAAACTTCTCTGAAGAGGAAAGAAGGATGGCCAATAGACACATGAAGAAATGTTCAACATCCCTAGCCATAAAAGAAATGCAAATCAAAACAACATTGAGATACCACCTCACCCCAGTTAGAATGGCAAAAATCAAGAACTCTAACAACAACAGATGCTGGAGGGGATGTGGACAGAAGGGAAGCTTACTGCATTGTTGGTGGGAGTGTAAACTTGTTCAGCCACTTTGGAAAGCAGTCTGGAGGTTCCTCAAAAGACTCCACATAGAGCTCCCCTATGACCCAGCAATCCCACTTTTGGGCATTTACCCAAATGATCACAAACAAGACCACACTAAAGCTACCAGCACAACTATGTTTATTGCAGCATAATTTACCATAGCTAAGATATGGAACCAACCCAGATGCCCCTCAATAGATGAATGGATCAAGAAAATGTGGTATATATACACAATGGAATTCTATGCCTCCATCAGAAAGAATGATATTGCCCCATTTGTTAGGAAATAGAAAGACCTGGAAAAAAATTATATTAAGTAAAGTAAGCCAAGCCCAACGAAACATAAGTCCCATGCTTTCCTTTATTTTCAATAACTAGTGTATGTCTGAGTCAACCAGAAAAATGGTCAGATAAGGTGATGGTAGGGGAATGAACCCCAAGATAAGTATTCAAATTTTTTTCTTTCATGCAACTATTTCTAACATATTTATAAGATGATTTCTATGTTGTTTAGTATGTCCCTCCCCCACGGTATAACCCCTGTTTTCACTGTATTTGATGTTGGTATAATTTGTGGAGGGGAAGGGTAAAAACAAATTGTTTAAATAGGGATACAGGTGGACCCATTGCAACAATGAGATGTACAAGTCATTACATCAAAAAACGAACTTTACAACTTTGGCGGGGGGGGGGGAGAGAAAGGGTGGGAAAGGATGGAAAGGGGAAACAAAGGAGGAGGTAACAATGCTTGATAAGAAATGTACTCATTATCTTGCCCATGTAATTGTAACCCCTCTGTACCATATTTTCACAATAAAAAAATGTCTCTTCTGCTGCACAATAAAGGTCTTCCACAAATAGCCAATCCTAATATCCTCTATTAAAAGTTTGTTCTTAAATGGAGAAGAAGATAAAACTAAAATAAAGAAGTGAATAGTTAAGGTGGAACCATGGTGTGAGCTTTTTGCTCAAACACAAGATGAAAAAAGTAAAAAGACAATGTTTTTCCTTCTTGTTTCTGATTTTATTTTTACCAGTACCGAGGCTTGAACGCAGGGTCTCACACTTGTTCCACAACTGGTACATGACCACTTGAGACATACTTCCAGTCTAATTTTTTGCTGGC